GATTAACGGAGATGTTTGAGGATTTTTGTGGCTAATTCGGTTGTAGATGAAAGCAGAGCCCGCCCTGATTTCCCCGCAATCCTCATTCGTCATACTTCCTTTACACTGAAGTAGCTTTCTAAAGTTCACGATACTTACGATTTGCACTATTATGCTGCGCCTTGCATCACGATTACAATATGCTACTACTTACACTATCTAGTGCTACGTCGATTCTAAGAGGTGGCAAACATCCAGTGCCGGGTTACAGGTGAATTTTAACATTTCCAGGACCACGTATCTGCTGGGGTAACCCATCAAACTTTACATGTCCACCTCACACTTACACTCACATTAAACACACACTCATACTGCACACGTGCTGGCACAAACACGTACACACGCACACGCCGGAACACTGACATACCCTCCATCCTATGATGTCAAGTTGCGGTAAGACCCCCCCCCTCTCTCCCTCTCTCTCTCTCTCTCTCTCTCTCTCTCTCTCTCTATGAGAGGTAGATTGATGTACATAGTGCACTGCTCTCTGTGAGGTGTAATGCTAGGTCCCTCCCTCTCTCTCTGCCCCGCCACTACACTGTATACCGTTTGTCACGGCCTTAAAGCTATACTTTATATCTCTGATCCAGTCTGGGCGTGGGTGTTTCACTTCCGAGTTCGATGGCACGTGCAGTATCTCTTATTTTGTTGAACACGTCATCTTCGATTTGACTTATTTTGGTGTTATGGCTATTACAGACGCTGCAAGCACATTTTATCATATTTATTGTGTTATTTCTCTGTAAATTTGAGTTCAAATCTTTGAGTTCAAATCTCTTCTACTACTGGGGGAGGGGGGCAAATTCAGTACGATATTGAATTGCTTGTAGTCGTGTTTAATCATGAGACACCGTAATTTATTGCAATTACTTAATTAGGCTTTCTGCAAGTTTGCCATGGTGCGGATCTATTGACAACCCAATCACCTGATCCCACGTAGTGAATAAACTCTTTATGTTTGATATCTCGGCCATCTGATAAGCTAGATCTCCCATTTTATTTCAGAATGGGTGTATTTTAAAAGGCCAACGCAATTCATTACAATTTGATCCAATCAGTGACTGGGAAATAAGCCCCAACGTAACATTTACATATGTTTACTGACTTAAGGTCCCCCCTCTTCCTGGATAAGTTTCTAATTTTAAGAATAAGAATTCGCTCACAGTTAAGTTTTCAATCTATTATCCTTTTAAAGTATGTTAGTCTGATATTAGATGCTTTGATCCGGGTCTTAGGTCTATCATTAGATCCAAATTACACTTAGAGTTTTTGATACATGTCCTCCTCTTCCAATCGTTAATTTAAAAACTGAACTTGACTCGGCAGATGATTTTCTTCTACGGAAATGAGAGTTAGTTATTTTCGCTTGAAGATCGTTTTTCAAATGAAGATCGTAAAGATTACAGAAACCTTGTATCTGTTCCTATTTCAAACTCAATATCTTATCATGGTCTATCTTTGATGTTGCGTAACTTTGTAGTTGCAGCTTTAACAGAAGTTTAATAATTGGCCTTTGATTAATTTCTTCACTTTCTTGTATTGCTATCAATCCTCGATTTGATTATCTTGGTACTTTCTCAGTGCTTGCTGTTTATTGTTATTTTATTGCCGCCAGTTTCTATTTTTACAGTTTTAGTTAATTCAGAGAATCTAGATTCCCATATTTGTTTCCTTTGTTATTATCGTCTTCACAACAGTATTAGTTGGTTAAAATGCCTCCCTCAATCGACAACGTGGTAGCACAGGAGCCTGTAGAGGACGAGGAAATGGCCACCGAGGAGACCCACAACGGCCAGATGAACGGAGATACACCCATGGCTGTGGACAGACCAACCAAGGACGTGAAGATGAGGGTAACACTGAACGGAGTTCCTAATGGTAGTCCTTACCTGTACAGGAACCAGGCCGCTGATCAGGGTAAATTAATGACTAATTAGCCTATTAACTACAAATTAATTATCATCTAACCAATTAACTTAGAATTAATGATTAATTAGCCAACTAACCTAAAAACTATTATGAATCAATTAACAACTGGGTGAATGGGGTAAACCTGTCAGCGATTTCATGAAATTATAACCCATAACTAGCAAAATAGCAAGATATTCCGGGACATCGGAAAACATCCTTCGTTTACTGGGTCGCTTGATTACCAATGGTTTGTACAAACCGGTAACTCGAAAATATATTCATTATGAACAAAAAAACTGTGACGCAGATAGAGACGTGACCTCAATCATATAAGTGATATATTACAGTCCAAACCAACGTTGGCTTAAATTTGTCGGTACGGTTAATAACATAAGGTGGTTTACAGGGTTTATATGGATTTAAAGAGCTTGCAAGGTGTTCAGATAATGTAGGTTGAAGGAGCTTATTGTATCAAATGATGCGATGGAGATTTTAGTTAATATTTGGAATTTGTTGTGTTGTTGCCTATCAGTAAAATAGGGGGAAATAGCTTGTATATTACATGAATCTCGGCTAATGATTGACTCAGTAAGAAGCAGAAGCACTTATATTTATATACTTCATCGTCTTGTACACATGCTTTTTGATTCATCCAAATCATCTTACCCCCTACAAATTACAATACATGAGCATATTAATAATTCATAATCATGGTACTGTAAATTTAATGCTCAGTTGGAGCTCCATAGAGATGTGCACCGTGTTAACTTTAGGCGGCGGCGGTCTGGACGCCAAAATTGGTCGGCGGCGGCGGTCTGACTGCGGTCTAACTACTAGATATCCATTATCCAATCCGCAGTATACTGTGTTCATGATGGTAATTTGGTTGTGTAACTGATTTATATGAATCGATTATGAATCGATTTCTTAATAACACTCTACATTGAAGAACCAATTCATCGTCAGCAGCTGTATTTGTTGATATAACGGCCAATACCTCAAAGACTGCGGTCTGGGTCAAAATTTCGCGGTGGTGCACGTCTCTGGAGCTCCAACTGGGTCCCACCGTACATTGCCTGATAGCCGAGTGGCCATGTCAACGCAAGCTTCTGAATTATTCAGCTATGACAATGAAGAGCAATTATGTTAATATCAATTTAATCATTGATAGGATATAGTATTTAGCAATATCCGAGAAGTAACAATTACAATAAGCAGTTATCATTAAGTCATTTAAAAATTAAACATATGTAGTTACTAGTTATCTAATATTATAACAGTTGCAGGAGACAAATTGATAATTATATTCTCATTGATTAGGTTACTATTATTAACAAGGTGATTGTTATTGATAAGGTGATAACACTGATAACTTAAAATTATTATTGACAAGGCTATTCTCAAAGCTCATTCGATTTATCCTTCCAAGTGTATAACTTCCAAGTGGTATAACTTCAAAGCCTGCCTCTTCAGTTCAGTCCACCACGCTTTTAATTTCAACTTTAGAGTCATTTCAAAGTATTCTTAAATCGTTGTTAATGATTTCCATTTTAAAATATAATATTATAGATAGGTATCCTGTTCGGCACTACGTATCGTGTTAAGTACTGTTAGAAAGTTTGTCTTGCGACGGCACGGCAGACGTAAATGACCCAATGTACAGATTCCAGATCCTATTAGCCAACAAAAGTGAGTCAGTTACCTCTACATACAACATGGGATGTCACTCAATTAAATAACCCATCAACTAACCATCTCAAGACACACAGCTGCAGTTAATTAGGTGCACTCGCTTTATTCAGTGTGGTAATGAGTAATGACCTCTATTTGGTAATCAGTTCCAACCCAATTAAGTCCTCAATTAACCTCTTGTAAGTCCTCAATTTAATGCTCCACTCTTGAGAAGTAAATGTGTCACGTCTTCTCAACATTCCCTTCTTCGACTTAAAAACTCCAGAACTTTCACTTATCAGTTATATTATCACCGCTTTTTCGGAGACTCACTGCCTCTCACTCACTCTGACCTCCTTTTTCCACTCTTGAGGGACCTACCTAACCGGAAAACTCCCAAAATCAGCGCCCCACCTCGCACCACGTGATCTACCACAGTATGTGTGTGCCTGGTCAGATGCTGTAGCTATGTTTACACGTTTTAGGATTGTAGCTGATGTCCGTGTGCAGGGGGCGGACTGTGATCACGAGTTGTTCAGTAGCAGGAAAAGTGGGAATATGTAGGCACGTTGTGTGTTTAGTGTGTGGGCCCCCTCAACTCACTCTCTTTTTATTCTTGGTGATGTTGTTGTGCGTTTACTCAACTCTTATTCTCGCTCTAGCTCTTGTTCTCGTGTTGATTGGTGCCCTCTTTCTATCTTTATCTTTGTTAGATTTTAGCAGGACTATCTCTGGAATGTTGTTACCTGGACAGGATTGGTTAAGAATGTTGTTATCTGGACAGGATTGGTTAAGAATGTTGTTACCTGGACAGGATTGGTTAAGAATGTTGTTATCTGGACAGGATTGGTCTGGAGCCTTTTCTTTACAAAGGAATGATCCCCAGAGTATTTATATTGTTCTATCTTTCTGCCCTTGTTTCTGGTACATTGTTCTGTGAGAAAACGAATGTGTGTTGTATTAATCTTCGTTAATTCTGGCTCTCTATATACACGTCCTCCGTTATATATAATTATCTGTATCTGTTACACCGATCCTTTGTAGCTACCGTGATGTCTTCGTTGGTTTTCTATGTGATTCGGACGTTCAACATTCACACACACACACAACTTGATTACACGCGGCCCTCATCAGTCTCAATTGCAGTTCTCAATTCGCTTTCATTATCTGTCGTGTTGATTTGCTCTTTTTTTCTTTCACGATCGGTGCTTTCTTATGCCTTGTATTTGTCTTTTTGTAAAGACTTTGATTGACATATTAACATTGCAACACTCGTTTTTATAATATCATTTCACTTGTCGATTTTTGTACCTTTGTTAATCAATAAAACTTGTTGTAATTTCTACAAGCTCTCTTTACAAAATCCCTCAACGCAGTCAGTAGCTGCACAGTTCACTTCATGGCATTCAGTCCCCTGAACACGCTCGGTTACTCACTCTACTCCAATCTTCCTTCTCCTCCAGCTCCCCGCTCCCCCTCCTCCTCCTCCTTCTTCAGCAACTTCTACACCGGCTCCCAAGGTAGCGCAGACCCTCCCTCCCAACCTGCCCCTCCCAAACAGGAGAAATCGTTCTGTGTGTTCACCAGCACTCCCAGTTTCTTCTCCCAGCTGTGTCCCCAGGAAAAAGGGGCCCCGTCCCACCCTGTTCAGGACCAGGCTAGCATTATGCCCTATAACAGCACATACAGCATGCCACCACCAGCACCACTCCACCCCTACACCCCGCCTAACAAGACGCAGGACGGGACTATGTTTTACGCTGCAAGATACAGTCTCTTCGCAGAGTTTCTTGCTGCTAATGCTGACTACTTTAATTCCAAGCGCTCGCTTGCAACCTACAATTCTTACCCAACCGGTATACCGTCTACTGCGGGAACCTTTACTCATGTTTCTAACCCGTACTTTGAGGCTGGAGCACCTCAACTGTTCTCCAATCAAGGTAGCTGGTTCAGAACACTAAACATTCCATTCATTCTTTACATTCCAACAATTCTTTTGTCTGAATTCTAGATACTGTGTATAGAATAGCAAAGCATTATTTAGGTCTTTGATAAATAGCTGCGGTTAAGCCGTTGTGATACCATGCCACTGTTAACTAATATATGAAATTTGGGGAATATCGCAAACCAACATATTAGTTATTACATTCTCTTTCAGCACATAATAATTTCTCTAATAAAGATGGTGTAATTAATTACGTTATTATTAACGATCATTATTTCAGGAACGAAGCCAGGTCACTACTTGCTGAAGCTGCTGGTCCCACCACCAGTTGCTGGCTCTATTATTGGACGAGGAGGTGCCCAAATCAAGGAACTCCAGCTCACATACGATGTATGTGATTTTCTATCCTTTTTTATTTTTTTTATTGAAATCTTTCAAATCAGTCAATTACATACAAGTTTACACAATGAATTAGTTAAATATAATATTGTCCTCTAAGCATGGATTGTCAAAGTTGAAATTGTCTCGGACAAAATGTATGTAACCAAAGGACCTGAGGGTCACCAAAACACAGATATTGAGTGCAAATGCAGCTCCTGCACAAGCATGGGCCCTTATAAAATTGTAATAAGTTACTTTAAACAAAATCACACACCCATTCAATCAATTCATAAAATATTGTGCTGTGAGATGAAATTGAGAAATATGTGAATGCAGACAGCAAGAATAGATAATCTTGAATAAACTATTTTACGGATTTGTTTCTATTGAATAGTCAAGTTCAGAGTCCGAATCCACCGGGATAATTTTCCCCACATGTAAGTGGAAAGTTTACTTTTAAAATCAGTGATACTCTCTATCTCACGGATATCTAGAGGAATGTGATTCCACTTAGTGTGGGTCCTATAGAAGAAATTCTTGGCAAAAGCGTTGGAGCTTGCTCGAGGTGAGATAGAGCTTACAAAACATAGAGAGTCCATGTGACTATTTCTGAGCCTTGAGTGGCCTTGAAATGGTTGCAAATATGAGGGTAAAGTGACAGGTATATGTTGCTTCACAATTTTAAAGAAGAAGATGAGATCCAAGAAGTCAAAGCGGTCTTCAATCGGCATAATCTTCAGCTGTCTGCATTTTTGAATGTATGTGGATGGTGGATAACTCATATACTCCTCGTGAAGAATCCACTTAATAGCACGCTTTTGGAGGCCCTCCAGCTTGCTTATCTGGGATTTTGTGACTGGTCTCCATATAACCGAGCAATGCTCAAATAGGCTCCTCACTAAAGTGAGATACAGTACTCTACGACGATTTACGTCTTGGACAAAATAACAATTTCTTCTCGCCATGCCTAATTTTTGGTTTGCCTTAGAAAGGACTTTGGAGCACTGATCTTTCCAATCGAGATTTGATGTCACAATTACACCCAGATCCTTTTCATGATCAACATAGTCAAGTGTGATTCTTCCCATGGAGTATACAAAGTTAAAGAGTGGTAGGACACTAAGGAGGGAAACTGTTTCGGATATCCTTCCTGCGACGGTGAGGACCTTACATTTGTCGGGATGAAATCTCATTTTATTAGAAAGTGACCAGTCATGGAGATAATCAATGTCCTTCTGCAGTCGCAGGATATCAGACTCCGAATAATATAATTTGATGGTAAACTGTACGGTTGCAGCTGAGACTGTCAGTCGGAAGTAATTTATCGTTATCTCTGAACAAAAACAGTTGACAGTTGAAAGGTTTCTAAACTTGTCCATTCATGCCCAGCTGTCCTCAACATGACACTGACAGTGAAAATTTTAACTGCCAAAATTCGGGAAATATTCTTACGTACACTTGTTGAATGTGCAAAATCTAAACTGTGTATCTGCCAGGTAGCAGTAAAGCTGTCCCAGAACAACCAGTTGTACCCAGAAAGCAACAGATCTAACTCTGGAGAACGTATCGTTCTTATCACTGGCCCTCCTGAGAACCTAGCTAAAGTCGCTGAGTTTATACACGTAAGTAAAGTATATGATATACGATATACGTAAGTCAACTTGTCCTACTTTTAATATGGCATCAGTTCTTCTCGAATCTTGATTTTCAGTAACTAAATCGCCAGTTAGATTTAGTAAACACGACACCGAACATGATACTATGGGGTTTACAGATAACTCTGACCCCTAACTTCTCACAGAGTCTAGTGAGGAACCCTCCTTCAAACCCCACCGGAGCTGACATGCTGGACAGTGGAAGGAGGATGCAGATGATGAAGATGGTGGTGACAAACTCCACTGCTGGTATGATAATCGGTAAAGGAGGAGCCACTGTTAAGTCTCTGAATGAGACCTACGATGTGAGGATACAGGCGTCTCAGAAGGATGATGTGGTGATGGGAGAGAGAGTTCTCACTATCTTGGGACCTGAAGACGGTTTGTGATATTCTATGATTACCTTCATCACTCTTAATATCGCCTGTTTTAAAACGTAAAATGTCAAACCTAACCGGAACCAAAACATTAGCGTAATTTTTACATATTTACAAAAAGTTCATGTCATTTACTCTATTTCCCAATCATAACAACCAATCCTCACTGTAGGAGTCAACAAGACCATGGAGTACATTATCAAGGAGAAATTCCGAGACGACCCAACCTCCACCTCCATCACCAACCTGGACTACTCATCCTACATGGACGCTAACGGTGGTCTGGGTATGGGTGGAATGAACAACATGGGATCCACTGCCTCCCTTAACTACGGATCTTTTGATGGTACGGCGCCCAAAGGTTGCATTCTTTTTGGTTTTTTATCATTGAAATTTTCGTTCGTTCAAATGTATTTTGCTCTTCTATTTCATTAATTATATGTGGTTTGATTGGTTCTGATTTGAGCCCTCAGCAGTAATTGATCGGTGTATTATTGTTACGTTATTAACATAATATTTCCAGGTGGACAAGATATGAGCCAGGTTAACCTTATCCAGACTCTTCTACAGAACCAAAACCAACAACAATCTTCACCGAACCAGGTTTGTCAAGCCTCAAATATTTAGAGTTGGAGGTCTGCTCAGTCAAATTATAAATTGCGAATCAAACTGCCATGTTCATAAAGCAAATGGTTTTAAAATAGTCTAAGTTAACATTATACAGCAGAGCAACCAGTACAGTGGCTATCAGAACGCAGGAGGATATGGTGGTAACAGTGGAAATGCTGTTAACAACTTCATGTCTGCCTCTCAGCAAAACCAACAGCAGAACCAACAGCAACAACAACAGCAGCAGGTACATATACATCATTGTTTTTAGCATGTTATCATTAATGGACGTCACTTCATCAACATTTTACTTGTAAGTTGTTAATCATTTGAAATCATTCATTCAGATTATGTCATATAGGAATTTTGGACATTCACATCACGTTTGATTGTTTCACTATTTATTCTTGCAGAATAACACAAATATATTTCAAGCAGATGTATAATATAGCTCACAATCTACAAACACCTCACCTCACCTACACGCACATTTACTGGATATCAACTCAACAATTACTCCTCCACCTCATTTCTCCAACATTCATTTACATCTCAACATTCATTACAATTTCATAAACATCTATTAATCACAATCATCATCATTTATCATAATCAAGTTAGCCGGCCCATCATCATAATTCACAATCACTTCACTCACTATCACTTCACTCACTATCACTTCACTCACTATCACTTCACTCACTATCACTTCACTCACTATCACTTCACTCACTATCACTTCACTCACAATCACTCATTTAGGTGGCCCCTAAAATTTAAGGCGGCCCCTAATCTTTAATCACAATCACCTCACTCACTATCACTCATTTAGGTGGCCCCTCAAAGTTAGGCGGCCCCTAATCATTAATCACAATCACCTCACTTACTATCACTTCACTCACAATCACTCATTTAGGTGGCCCCTAAAATTTAAGGCGGCCCCTAATCATTAATCACAATCACTTCACTCACAATCACTTCACTCACAATCACTTCACTCACATCACTCACAATCACTTCACTCACAATCACTTCACTCACTATCACTCATTTAGGTGGCCCCTCAAAGTTAGGCGGCCCCTAATCATTAATCACAATCACCTCACTCACTATCACTCATTTAGGTGGCCCCTCAAAGTTAGGCGGCCCCTAATCATTAATCACAATCACCTCACTTACTATCACTTCACTCACAATCACTCATTTAGGTGGCCCCTAAAATTTAAGGCGGCCCCTAATCATTAATCACAATCACTTCACTCACAATCACTTCACTCACAATCACTTCACTCACAATCACATCACTCACAATCACTTCACTCACAATCACTTCACTCACTATCACTCATTTAGGTGGCCCCTCAAAGTTAGGCGGCCCCTAATCATTAATCACAATCACCTCACTCACTATCACTCATTTAGGTGGCCCCTCAAAGTTAGGCGGCCCCTAATCATTAATCACAATCACCTCACTTACTATCACTTCACTCACAATCACTCATTTAGGTGGCCCCTCAAAGTTAGGCGGCCATTAATCACAATCACTTCACTCACTATTACTTCACTCACAATCACTCATTTAGGTGGCCCCTCAAAGTAAGGCGGCCCCTAATCATTAATCACAATCACTTCACTCACAATCACTTCACTCACCATCACTCATTTAGGTGGCCCCTAAAATTAAAGGCGGCCCCTAATCATTAAACACAATCACTTCACTCACAATCACTCATTTAGCCTTTAGGTGGCCCCTCAAAGTTAGGCGGCCCCTCATCATTAATCACAATCACTTCACTCACAATCACTTCACTCACAATCACTTCACTCACCATCGCATCACTCATTTAGGTGGCCCCTAAAATTTAAGGCGGCCCCTAATCATTAATCACAATCACTTCACTCACAATCACTTCACTCACAATCACTTCACTCACGATCCCTTCACTCACCATCACTCATTTAGGTGGCCCCTCAAAGTTAGGCGACCCCTCATCATTAATCACAATCACTTCATTTACTATTAATTCACTCACTTTCACTTCAGGAGCATGTCACCCTCAAATAATATGAATAAGTTAAAACAGGTAAGGTAGAGGGTTTGTGTGGCAGTTTACACAGCCCCCTCCCCCCTCCACACTATCACTCATCAGCATTCAGCATATTATATCATTTACATATTACCATATCATTAGCATATTAACATATCATATTACCATACCATCACTCACTATCACATCAACGCAACATCTACTAAATCTATAACCCATCCTCTGCTACCCTGGCCCTGTATCTCACTAACCTTCTTATCTCTCTCAGCAAAACAACAACAGCTCCAACCAAGCTGAAGTAATAGCTCGGGTTCTACAAGCCCTGCCTAACAATGCTCTCTCCAACACCTCTAACCTGGCTAATACCATCATGCTCATTCAGGCTTTATCTGGTGAGTTTTATATCTCCTCTGGGGTTTTAAATGGTAAACCAATGTTTGGATATACCAATGCAATGATTTGATTTCTTTACAAAATACTTTAAAGACTAAGAATAACCAATATTTCAGGTAACAACAACAACAACTCTAACAATAACATGCCCCAAATGAACCAGCAGCGAATTTCAGCACCGGTTCCTTCTAAATCATCTCTTAAACCTTTCATTCCCCGACCAGATGATGTCAAATACAAGGTTCGTAGTGATTTCTAATAATAAATCTGACTATAATTTGACTGGTTAAAAAAGTATTGAGTAAATATAACTACTAACATTAAAAAGTGGCTCACCAGTCCCACGTTTACAGGTTGAGATCCCAGACTCACTGGTAGGCCGCGTGCTCGGCAGACTTGGAGCCACCATCACTGAGATCCAGAACACGAGTGGGTGCGAGGTAAAGTTCTCACAGAGAGGAGAGTACGTGCCCGGCACTCAGAACAGACTGCTGTACGTGTGCGGTCAACAAGCAGGCTGCAAGATCGCTCAGCAACTCATCTTGAGCAAGATTGAGGGGGACGCAGGTGACGTTTCTAGTTCAGACTTCGTTTTTGAACAGATTCCCAATAACTAATGCGTGACACCCAACCTGCTCATGCGCGCGGCGTGACGTCATCTGGATGACGTCATGTCACGTGACATGGTTATCACGTGATTCACTGTCATCGTCCTCTCGTGAGCTAATCCTCATAATATTTCGGAAATTACCCTGGCCCTCCTTAAATTGTCGGCTTGGTTGTGCTGACCTTTATATGCACACGGGAACCCATTTCATCTTATAATGGTATTTTCATTTATTTAACAAATATAATAGTAATACGATTGGTAACTTATGAAATACTCACTTTAATTAAATTGGCACTTAAACGTCACTGCACCCATTTTCACCGTAAATATAAAAAATTACACTTTTGCAAAATTTGTACGATTTAATATCAGTTTGAGAGAAAGAGGATACATTATGATGTATGATTATAAAGTTAGAATAAGATTTTCACTTATAATACGTATTTATACGTATTTATGGTATGATTATGGTATTTAGAACTGGTGTGCTTTTTACGAATGTATTAATTTATTTTTGTCAAGAACACTCTCATAACGATAGAAAAAATTAAGGTATTTATTAGTATGTACTCACAATAAATTATAACGTTTCATCTTAGAGCTTCAAGGTTATTAGTACACTGTGAAGGGAATATATTTTGGGTAATTGCTTGGATTATTTTGTTTGTTTATTACCATTTAAAGATTTTGAATGTTTGTTGCTCCGCTCCGCCATGTAAAATGTTGTTATTACCTTAAATCGTTCAAAAAAACCGTTTTATCAACTCCAAATCCGGCCTCATCGGATTTTTTGTAAACTTACATACTTTATCAGTAATTTACAGTGATATTAGCAACTTAATTTATCATAATATATATCAAATATTCGACCGTCCACGCTTATTTTATCGTCGTACTGTTAGGGGCTTAGCAAGACTAATTATTGGTGTGATTATCCATGAAATTCAAGATTCACCTCCCATTGTTCACACTTCATCCCCCAGGTTTCTTCTCAAGTTCATGCGTCGTTTTTGAGATGTGTCTAAATAACGAACACAAGGCATTCGATCATGATGTGCCCATGCACGACGTTCCCATGATTGTGGGATGACGTCACATCGTTATGACGTCACGTGACATATCACGCATCATGTGACAATTCATCTCACACTTTCTACAACTCACCCCTCTTCAACGCACACTCATCATATTATATATCGGACATTTCATATAGGACACTCATACTTTACATGACACTTTTACATTATCATAACACTTATATTTATTATATTATTATATCATTACACCTTACATTATCATGACACTTATATTATTATATTATTACACTTAATATAACATTATCATTACACTTACACTACATTTTCATAACACTTATAATATCGCATTGCATTATCATAACACTTTTATTATTATTTAATATTCTTAACACTCATCTTTACATATCGTACTTTTCACCATATACTTGTTGATATACGTACAATTTATACGTGTTGATACACGTGTAACATTTTTCATTATATACTTTCACATCTCATAAGTCACATCCATAAGGGTTTTAGCTTTAAAATTTTGGGGTATTATCCCGAATGTTTTGGAAATTTGAATTATTGTCATTCTCAACCTGCCTTCTCGATATCTTTTGACATTTTATACAATGTTTAGATATCTGGAAAGTGGGAATAATTGTAATCGACTGTCTCGAGTTACATTTTGGACTTCGGTCAGATCATGAATCAAGAAAGTCGATTTTCGATAGCCTAAAGTTGCTGGTGTAAATTCATGAAATCTAAAGATTGCCAACACTCTAACATAACCCTTCATCATCATCATTCACATTTAATTACCTTCGATCAGAAATATAAAGCTCTAAAGCGAGCTAAATATTTCATGGATTTTCACTCCAAATTTTTCATTTACTTAAATGGCTGGGAAATGATTTTTGATGTTTGTAATTCCTTGAATTGCATTTACAGTTTACACTTTAGATTTTGCTTAACATGCACAAAGATTAGATGTTTGGTGTTACGCTAATGTAAGTTTTTACATTATGATTTGCCATATTATGATAACAATATTCGAGAGACATGAAATATTATTATCTTGTAGTTTTAGTGCACCGAAAAACTACCAGCTCATGTTTGGATGCGTGTTGGAATAAATGAAGAATATCATACCGAATTTTTTCATTTCTTTTTCGGTGCTCTAGAATCCCCTTATCTTTTAATTTAATTTAGAATCTCTGGATGGTCCCTTCACCACACGAAATTAAATCATCATTTAGCTATCACCCTGTATTTAATTTAAAGAACACTTTTTAAGGTGAACTTTTGAGTTCACCTTGATGATGATTATAAGCGATGAATAACTAATTTCGTGTTTTGAGGTACATACTATATTATTAGTCATACTCTCACTTATATTCACGTAGAATGATCACCTTACACGATGATAATATAAAGTAAATTATCATCATGGATATTACTGTAATATTTAAATTCTCTCACTATTATTATTTGTTGCCGCTGTGTCGGGTAGCTGCGGTACAACCTGTGTCCTGTGTGATCCGAGATACATTTAAAATTTTCAGAAAATTCTCCTATATAAGTGTACTTACTTGTCTCACTCAATCAAGATCAGTCAAACGATCAATCAAATCAAAAATCAATCAAATCAAAAATCACTCAATTCTTGAAAATATTCATGATCATCGATCTGTCAGAGCGTATGAAAAAAGATGATAGAAAACTAATTTTTGATTCTTGTCCTTATTTTGGGGTAGGGGAATATAAAGCTAGTTCTTATCTAGGAACGGTTTTAAGTTGAGAAATATGACCATTTAACTTGTTTGGAGTAGTTGGTACATGTACATGTACAGTGAAACAGTATATATTTAGTATAATAGCAGGTGGTAAAGTGGTACTGTATAGTTGGTAGTAAAGTGGGAAGTTTTGGGGGAAAAAAACATCCGCGGTAAATCGGGGTTTGCGGTAAATCGGGACACGTTGAATCAGGGTATGCCAAGTAGCAAAAAGGTACAAAATAGTTGAATGTAAAGTGGTACAGTTTAGTTTGAAGTTAAGTGGTACAATATATATTTAGTAGTATCTGGCACTCTGCGGTCTCCTAGTAGTTGTATATTTAGGTGTGTAACTGAGGTTTTGACACGTACCGTGTTACAGAGGTTGTGACACGTGCTACAGAGGTTGTGACACGTGCTAGTTGTTGTGTACGTGTTTAAGTTGTTGTATGTAGATTGTAGATGTGTTCCTGTAACCAAGGTAACCACGTATTGACACGTGTCCCCCGGTCCCTCCTCAAAGAGCAGCTCAACTCTCAGGAGAATATTAACTTGTACTCTGCACACTTTCTCATGTGTTATTTGTCGGGGTGGTGGTTTGTTACAACACTCGCTCTATACATTACCTTTAGTCCACTTTATAATGCGTTATACCGTAATTAAAACCAACTGGGCATCATCAGAACCCGCCCAGCATATAAATAATAACGTGGTTAAGTCTAGATTCATCCACTTTTTTAAATCTCGCAACTGAAATTATGATACTAATTTGTGGTTACTAAGTTGGTCCAGTGAGCCACCTATGTGAGTTGAATCTGTATCAGTGTAAACATAATAATTTAATATGCACATGATATTAATAATAAAGAAGGTAGTTGCTTGGTGCAGTTCACGTGACATTACGTCACTCTAACGCGCTGTCAGACTAGTACAAGAGCTGGGATCCAGGTTTAATTAGTTAGACCACACCTACAAACGATGTGCAATACATCCAGTTCAGGGTGGTGATTAGTTTTTAAGTGGTTTAAAGCGACCAGATTAAATGTGCGACGCTCTTAGAAAATAGAAGATGTAAAATTAAATGTGATTAGTTCTTACTTTTAAATTACTGTAAAGTAAGGGGAAAGGAAACATCCGCGGTAAATCGGGGTTTTGTTAGTTAACATTATACATGTTAAGCCCCCATGTTAATCGGGGTTTTACTGTAATATGATAACATGAAAATTTATGATATTACATTTATCTTTATATCTACTCAATGAACCTATTCATTTCATGCTGGGCCTTTTAACCGTAAACTTTCGGCTGCATTAAGACTAGAATCATATTACACGCTGCAAAATTCAGAGCAACCTTGTCGACAAATTGTACTTTAAAACTTTGTATAATAAAGTTTACGTTTGGTAACACGACATGAGGTTAATTTTTCAAAGTATGCAAACTGTCAAAAAAAATCAAGACCACTGCAATGAGAGTTCATGTTTCGTCGGATTTATCATTTGATAGTGGTATTGCTATGTAGAAAGGCGTGAGATTGGTTATGTCCCTGATAAGTGAGTCTTACACTTCTGTATGCTGAACACTGCACCAATGATTGTAATGTGTTGCCACGAACTTCTTAGCTATCGCTATCTGGTTACTGTTAGTTGGTTACTGTTAGTTGGTTACTGTTAGTTGGTTACTGTTAGTTGGTTACTGTTAGTTGGTTACTGTTAGTTGGTTACTGTTAGTTGGTTACTGTTAGATGGTTACTGTTAGTTGGTTACTGTTAGATGGTTACTGTTAGTTGGTTACTGTTAGTTGGTTACTGTTAGATGGTTACTGTTAGTTGGTTACTGTTAGTTGGTTACTGTTAGTTGGTTACTGTTAGATGGTTACTGTTAGTTGGTTACTGTTAGATGGTTACTGTTAGTTGGTTACTGTTAGTTGGTTACTGTTAGATGGTTACTGTTAGATGGTTACTGTTAGATGGTTACTGTTAGTTGGTTACTGTTAGATGGTTACTGTTCGAATGTGTAAGATGGACGTAAGGGGGTTTACCTCGGGTGAAGGTGTATGCAGGTGTTTTGCTTCATGTCATATATGTTAGGAATAGATTAAAGAACAGCAATAGTATAACAGATTATATCACCGGTATCAATACACAGAGCAATACACAGAGCAATATCTTTCTTCCAGATTTGAACATTTATTGTATGATCCATAGCAATCTGATAGTTAGATTTGATTAGCAGAATTATTTACATGCTCCTAAACTTGGCAAAATGTCATGTGATGGGATTGCTAGCTAGCGATTGGACATGACCTGTAGCATGTATGGTCAAAAATCGTTCTGTAGTTAAGCCAATAGATAATTCGTATTCGAGAATTTGGCCAAAAGCAACAAGGTAACTAACTACTAGCGGTTATAATAAACTACTTGAATTACAGTAGATTTGAATCGTGATGGGATTGGTAATGTTCAATTTTAAAGCCAGATAATATCCCTCTTGATACATTCCTCTTTAAAGATACATTTAATCGAGCAGTTTTTTAATCCTCTTCTCTTCTTAAAGACGTGATGGTTCTATTGTTACTATCTGTAACATGTTACATTTATATTTTTATGAATGGTTATTAAGAGCTATGGGAATATGAATCAGTGAGTGTAGCTCACACGGTTTAGTATCTGTCATCACTTCTGAATAATGGCTCATCTTATTTCGAGGTTCACATGCATCAGACGTTAAAAGCCAATAAAAATAAAGGACACTAGCCTATCAAACTATAGTACTGTGTGGAGACTCTTTATTTCAACGCCTACCCTGATTTTAAAGGCACCCGGAATTGTGTGATGGGAGGGTAGTATTGTCAGCACTTTTAGGAGCCTTTAAAACGGTAGCAATTTTTCAAAATTCAGTAGTTTAACTTACTTACACCATAGGAAATGTGTGTGGGTGTCACAATGGAAATTACCTAACCATGCCATTTCAGCAACTTCAATCAAGTTTCAGCAACTTCATGACTATTCAGCCCCTTAAGCTCATGCACCCGTCTTGCTCCAGAAATCATTCAACAGTCAAGTGTAACACCTAAACAGCTCATCGCTAACACTCATTGCACATTGAGTCAGGTAATCTATGTGACATATGTAAACGCTGATTGCACATTTTGTAATGATTATTCCATGAAACCACCCTTTGTCAGACAGGCGCGGCGCGCAAAAAGTATGAAATTTCAGCATTGGGAGCATCTTAACTTGCACATTTCTTCAGTAGTTCACTATCTTCATCACTGTTTGGCATTCGTTGCGCGCTTAGCGCGCGTAGACAAATTACCCACCGAAAATGATAAATATCTTCTTTCAGGTTCGATCAAATCTTGGGAACAAATGAAGTGACCCAACCTCTAAAACGATGTCTATCTGCTAGTCAGTACTCAATAGAAGAAGTTTATGAAAAAGCATGGTTTCTGGTAATCTGGTAAGTTTTACATACTGCTTCTAGAATCTTCTTTTGCAAAATTTGACTGATCTTGGTTACTGTGACCGACTTGCAGCAGACGATGGGCCAATTTTTATATTTGTCAATGGTTTGGTTTGCATGTTGGTAACAGCATGGGACCCTCAATAACAGAGGAAAGGGTATAATATGGCCCGAATTTGGCTTAGGTTATTTGTTAACGAACCCATACTGTCACCTACATTGAACACATGTTTTTAACAGTAACACTCCAGTAACGGTCATTCTTTAATTTTTGTCAAGGATTTAAAATCAAATATCATTCAATATTGAAGGTCATATTTAAAGATCATATCCAGATATTTTTCCGGACGTATTTTTGGCGCGAATTTCGCCGCGCTTTTAACAATTCGCGCGTTTTATCGTGCACTTTGCCGCGCTTTTTTACCTGTCTCGCATGATACCGTGCATCTTGATTCTTGCTGCAGGAAATGTTAACAGTAGACGTTAGACAAAGCGTGCATTCCAATTTCATTTATCATGGATCATTTCCTTTCAATAACATTTCTTTTTCAGTTTTCGGGAGCTACCAATGAATTGCTACTTGATCAACCGAATCTATGATTCAGCTTCTACCATTACAAGAACAGGGAACCGCACCAGTGACGAAATATTTAAGTACTTAAGGCGAAGAGACAGTGGAAGGCAACAACTTTTGTCAGGGACCAACAGGTCCATTTGTAAAAATAATAATGATAATTATTTGAAAACAGTAACTAATATCACCAAAACAAGGGAATATTTTAATCAGAATCTTTTCATCATTTTGGTGAGAAACATCTACTGAAAATCTTGACACAGTTTGATTCAACATATTTTTTGTGAGCTTTGCCAGTTTGTTAATATTGACGATTTGTTTTTACTGAGCGGCTCTACTGTCGACATAAAAACCAAACTGTTGTGTTAAATGTGTATAATGTAACCCTCAAAATGAGATATCGAATTCTGAAGTATAATCTAAAAAATAGTTTGATTTCTTGTTTAATGTATCTAAGAACAGCTAATTTCCATGAATGTTAAAATAGTTCTGTTGCCAACTCTGCTCTAGAACACGCACAATGCACATCACAGATGGTTAATCGAAAAATTAACTGACACTTTGTTTTGAGTATTAAAAGTTCGCCTTTAAATAACCTATTAGAATAACAAATTATATTAAAAATTATAATTAAATTGATAAAAACAACAAAGTAAGGTTCACCAAACATTTTGGTACTTTATTATCTGGCGGTACAGCAATACTGATACAATCACGAAATACGAATATAAAATTGAAGAAGCTGCCCCCGCTGTACAATTTAATTAAAATTGGTAGTTAAAAATTTAGAAATAGTATAAATGGTTTAATATTAAAGTTGCCATTAACATAATCTAGACAGTTTGTATAATTAGACACTCGAACGTCGAGAATTCGACAGTTATTTTTTGTAATGGTTTGCAGAGTATGGAGTAAAACTCCGGTCTTGATTTAGAGAGTTTATCTTTTCTACGTCGTCTGGCGAGAGGCTGAAGTCAAACACGTTCGCGTTCTCTTTGATGTGTGAGGGAGTCTTGGATTTCGGTAGAACGCCTGAAAGGTGAAATGTAATTATAATTATATGTCAATTTTCAGATAAATTTAAGATAAATTTGAGATAAATTTAAGATAAATTTAAGATAAATTTAAGATAAATTTAAGATAAATTTAAGATAAATTTAAGATAAACAAGATGTAAATAAAACTAGGGTTGGTAAGATATTGTTTACAGTATTGAGTATGAACTTGAAGTATGACTACCTTATGTGGGGAAGGGGTGTCAGGAAAGCTTTGTAATCTCTTTATGAAAGCTATTTGTATAATAAGAATCTTACTCTTAGGTCCGGAAAGGGGGTCTAGAAGTAGAAATGTCTGACTTACGAAATATTCAAACAGTCTTCTAATGGATATTCATTGAGAACAATCCATGTGTATATAAACTGTTCGCCTATTAAAGTTAAATAGGGCAGAGTAATACTAATGCTAGACAATATTTAATACAGAATATAAGCGTCCTGCCACCGTGGATCAACTATATTCGAACAATATCCTATTGGATATTCATTACGAACAATCCAAGTGTTTGAACTGCTCGCTTATCCAAGTTAAATGGGGAAGAGCGATGCTTAACAATACCAGCATCTCTCATCCTTTGGGGAGAGCGATCCTAAACTATATTTATATCAGCCTCTCTCAACCTTGGACCCATTATATCACGTGGTTAAGCAAAGAGATCAGACTGGCTGCGCCCAGGCAGCAACCAGTGCTGGTTGGTAAGATCTATCACGTGACATTTTACAGTGTACAGACTACAGAGATAAAGAAAAGCATTGATTCGCCCACCGTGTGCTGATATTCTCACTTCTTAAAGAGCATTCCTTGATTTCTTCTATGTTTAGTTGGGAGCATAGGATACAGAGATCACTTGCCTTAAAGTTAAGTAGATAAGAACAGCACACGTCCACGGGTCATATTTAATTTCGTTCGGCCAAATACTCAACAGCTTCTTCATTGGAAATGTGCACATGGACAATGGTAGAACTTCTGATAGCTACTTCCGCTGTTAGTAATAGTTATCTTGCTAAGACTCCATAGGCATAAGCGTCACAGCATTTAAAAGAGGTAAAGAGACCATCAAATATCGATGGAGAGGAGGGGTTGCTGGCTGTAAGATAGTTATCCTTTATTACTTGGTGATTTTAAGTGTCCTGTGATCCACCGTACTGTCCGGCTCTTACTAATTCGCTCGCCCAAAAATTATCACGTGACTTTGGTTTTTTATGGTTTTGCAGCCGAACAAAACGGTTTTACATGAACCCTAATCCTCTATATAACCCCGAAACTATCCATAACCCTAACAAAAACTCTAACCCTTCGTGTTTTACTAGCCTGTCACGTGACCAGTTTTTGCCAATAACTCTCCAGGCCGGAAGCATTTTTACCCTACGTCATGGGGGTTGATTCGGAATCAGCGTCCTAAAATACACCGAATCAAAGTACTTTCAGTTTCATGCCATCAGGACACAAGAATTTTCTCAAAATTTGGGCGAGCGATTTAGTGCCAGTGGGAGCGGTACTGTCCACCCTTTTATAAAGTTTCACCGTTGACCGTAGTCTCCTTCGCCGTAGTGTTCGCCACCGTACTGTCCTTTAGAAATTTTTGGAAACATCTAAATACTTTTGACTCGTGTTCTGATAATTTTATACTTAGAAGGGGTTGATCAAACCAGTCAGCGTTTACGCCAGTTTTTGGCTGTACGATAGATAATCTTTCAAAAGTTTCTTGTTTCCTGTTTTCTATTAACTAAAAAAATTTCAATTACCTTAGCTTCTGGTGAACAGATAAGAACAGAGATAAGAGATGATTCTGATCTTCATATTTGTTATCACAGTTGTCACAAATACAGTTAAAGGTATGCTATAACACAAATAATAAAATATTTTAAAATGTTTTATTTTCTGCAAACTCGAAAAACTTTGTCATGAATATTACAAACGCGTAAAACCAATATTACTGAAGCGTTGAACCTGGCGTGAGATATGCTAATCATAGATACCTGATACAAGTATAACTGTAAACTTAGCATTGTCCTCTCAGGTAAGTTCCTATTAAAACTAACAGGTGATGATGACGTCACAGCCCTGTTTATAGACGGTGTTCCACGAAATATTACCAGCACAGGTTTTACAGAAGAAGTGGTAATCTCAGAAGACTTCATGCCTCGTCTCATAGCTATAAGAGCTTCCAATGCTCCTCATCTTAATAATCAGAATGTCATCGAATACACTGCTGGGATACTAGCATCACTGACAAATGAAGATGGAGACGATATCATAGTGACAGATGGTAAATGGAGATGTTCTGCGGTGTTAGAGCCAGGCTGGGAGAGAGTGATGTTTCGAGAAAGTTCTGACAACTGGAGTGATGCTGCAACACTAGCACAACATGGACAAGGAGTATGGTCCAATATTTCAAAGTACGTTGGGAGTATCTCCCATGAAGCTATGTGGATCTGGGACAGTGAAAGTGAAAGTGAAACTGTGTACTGTAGGAGGAGAGTTACACATCTTAAATACTCAGACCAGGGTGAGTACAATTGAGGGGGGGGGATGGCGGATTGTTTCTTACACAATCTGTTATATAAAGCTATAGCAGACAGCACACTGTTCTCGTTACCCTCTCAACTCGGTTGCATTTTCACTTCCAGGTCGGCTGCATGCTCTATTGTTCTACGGTTATTAGACAATAGCAATGGATTTCCTTGTTCAACTGCATGATAACAATACGTGCACTCGATTAAAGCACTGAGCACGATGAGAGCTATTCACTGCCACAGTAGAACGGTTATATCTGGTGGTAGAGCAAATACATGTCATAGGTTGCAGGCTAGGGAACAAATAGTGCTGGCTCTACAATATTCCAACAGGCACTATTTATTATATTTATTATATATATTATACTATATATTATAGGCTTAATCTAAATTCGGGGGACGTGGCCGGATGGTCGTCAAAATGAGAGTATTAGAACTATACTAGGGAAGTTAAACGATTTGTAAAAAATCACCACTTAACTAACTTCGCAGATATAAGAGAGATGCTAGTTGGTCAGATATTGCCCGTAAATGCTGAACAATCCGGCACAAAGCAAGACGACGAGCTGATAAATGGTGCTCAAAACGCTGTAGATCTGAACACCAAGACCTCCTCGAGGGCAGTAGCTGGATCTGACGGCGTAATGTGGTTGAAGCTGACTCTTGGTCACGTGTACTGTGTAAATCAAATAGCCTGGTACATGTCTGAAAGTCAACTTCAACGCAGTTGGATTTGTACAGAGACAGAGTGTATCTGCCAGGATGACGGTTGTAAGGGATTCTCCTTGACTTTCAACATTGTGGGACAGACTCCAGACGGACTCCCCTCAAGGTCCAACTGTAAATACGGGAACACGGCGAAGATACAGAGAGTTATTGGGGATGGTGGTATTGTAGTGTTCGAGATGACCATCGAAGGTTTGAATATTTACATTCACGATGATTTTGAGAAAATAAAAATGTTGACTCATTGAAATGAGTTATATGAAATTAAAAGTCCTGTAGGAAATTCATTTTTAATTTTCGTCTCTGCTTTCAGGATTGTGTCCTTCTGGGACCTTTTTGGATAACGCAACTGACCAATGTAAAAATTGTTCATCTGGGACGTTCAAAGAAGAAGTTGGGTTACAAAATCAGTGTTCTGAATGTGAAGCAGGAAAATTCAGTGCTGCTGGATCAGCAACATGTTGTGAAGCAGGAAAATACAGTGCTGCCGGATCTGCAACATGTTTTGACTGTGAAGCAGGAACGTTCGGTGCTGCTGGATCTGCAACATGTTCTGACTGTGAAGCGGGAAAGTACAGTGCTGCTGGATCTGCAACATGTTCTAACTGTAAAGCAGGAACGTTCAGTGCTGCTGGATCTGCAACATGTTCTGAATGTGAAGCGGGAAAGTACAGTGCTGCTGGATCTGCAACATGTTCTGACTGTGAAGCAGGAACGTTCAGTGCTGCTGGATCTGCAACATGTTCTGACTGTGAAGCGGGAAAGTACAGTGCTGCTGGATCTGCAACATGTTCTGACTGTGAAGCGGGAAAGTACAGTTCTGCTGGATCTGCAACATGTTCTGACTGTGAAGCGGGAAAGTACAGTGCTGCTGGATCTGCAACATGTTCTGACTGTGAAGCGGGAAAGTTCAGTACTGCTGGATCTGCAACATGTTCTGACTGTGAAGCAGGAAAATACAGTTCTGCTGGATCTGCAATCTGTACTGATTGTGAAGCAGGAAAATTCAGTGCTGCTGGATCTGCAACATGTTCTGACTGTGAAGCAGGAAAGTTCAGTGCTGCTGGATCTGCAACATGTTCTGACTGTGAAGCAGGAACGTTCAGTACTGCTGGATCTGCAACATGTTCTGACTGTGAAGCAGGAAAGTACAGTGCTGCTGGATCTACAACATGCTCTGACTGTGAAGCAGGAAAGTACAGTTCTGCTGGATCTGCAATCTGTACTGATTGTGAAATTGGACTGAAGGCAAACGCTGAGAAAACAAGATGTGGTAAGAGAAGATATACTTCTTTGACATTTCTTTCAAAATTTTTGAAGGCGTTAATCCCATCCAGAAAACATACCAAAATTTGACAAGACAGCCAGGCTTAAAATTAACGCCAACTAACTAGGAGGAGAAGTGGGGGGAACTAAACGTCAACTAAACTAGACAATCACTTCAGATCCGTGTCCAGCGGGTACCTACAAAGACAGTTCAATGGAAAACTGCCGAAAATGTCCTGGAAACACATACAGTGTATCAAGTGCCGGTAAATGTAATGCTTGTCCTCACGGATCTCATGCGAGCGAAGACCGGACAACATGTGGTAAGTTTATTATTTTGGTCTTGAATTTATTAAAAAAAGGTTGGAATTTCCAAACAATTTTTGACGGCTGTTCACCTATAAAATAATAGACCTCCCCCCCCCCACCCCCCTTCCACATCTAAACGATCCATAACTTTTCCTTGACAACAGATATATCGCAATCCAGCAGAACGTTCATCAAACGTTTATATTCCTTACATATCTTAACATTGTGTTATAACACAATAAACAAAGGAGTTGCTTGTGCTCCATATCTAGCAAGTTCTATGTATTATCATAACTTCTAATTCTAAATATTTACAATATTTATGAATAGTAATATGAGTCTGTACAGTCTAAGGTTAAAATCAAGTTAAATCTCTATTTTACAGTTGGGGAAACAAATGTCGGTGAAAAAAAGTCACGTGACAGCAGTCAGCGTTTTATTGAGTTTCAAAAAAGTAAAGGAATAAATATGCTGCTCGAACAGTTATAATATTTGGAATCAGTTTAAATTGTTTGGCTCAACGTCAAGTCTTAGGGTATACCCTGGTATCCATTTTCTGAAAACAAAATAACGTCAAGTCTTGCGGTATAATGTAACAAAAACAATAAAATGGGACTGCTGAGCAAAGTGGTCTGGGGTACCAGCATTGGTCTCAGAAAACAAGTACTAGTGAGGTCTGCGTTAGTTAAATAATGCCTGATCAGCTATCCTTAACAAGAAGTCATCACGTTCTATGACTAACGAAATGTAATTGATTGATTTGTTTAATAGGTCTGTTACTGTTTGTATCAAGTTCCTGTCGCTGTAAGTAGCCACCCGTCTGTTAGCTAGAAAAAACAGAAGTCTGCCATGTGACGAGTCATCTGACCGGTCATGTGACCACGTAGTCTAGGGCCTGTCGTGATATCATGGATCGCTTAGGTTCCACCAGGATCTGGTAGTCCTCATAATTCTGCGGCCTCTATGTGTCGTCATCTCGCACAACTCCGAAAAACCGTTGTGAGTTTGGCATGTGAAAATTTGCAGCCCTCCAGACATCGATTGGGTTAACGAGTTGTCGTACGTCACCTCAAGATCGGGTGACAGGGGGCTGAACAGGCCAGAACCCAATTGATTGGGTCTGAGGTCACGTGATTATGAGCCTGAGGTCACGTGACTATGACGTCACCAGAGCTCGTTCTCCGTTTCCCGCTCTTTGGACCAGGTGAGCTTGCATGCTTGTGAAAGTGGGTGTAAGTACAGCTGTACTGTAGTTACATCCAATTACCCCTAATAGAACGAAGATTTATTTTCTGACAGAAAGCTAGAAATTTACCAACATATCGACTTTGTTCAAAATTTATTTTGATGACCACTCCTGACCTAAAATTGCACGAGAAATCGATTAAACTTGGTTTCGGAACTCAACAATGCTTCCTTATGCCTTAAAATCCATTTTTATCGATACAATAAACATTTTGATCCTGTGGATTAATTAGTAACAGGTAACAAATGCACAGAAAAAACCATCGCACTTACATTACATTCTTAACGGGTCGATTTCGAGTGACCAATAATCGTCGTGATGATATTTATACGTCATGCGTTCCTGATCATCATCAGCAATCAAGAGACAGGAGCGGCGATTGCTTTAAATCAACAGTTTACGTTATTTTTGTGAATTCGACCCCTGTTTTAACGGTTATCACACTTTGTAATCGAATGTATTGGGGATAGCTTTACAAATAAGAGGACCAGTAAATATTTTTTGTGACGTAAACTAGAACATACACTCAAACTAGAACATTCTAAAAGATCGATTATTACGCTAAAACCCTGCTGTAAACAGCTTACCAAATTGGCCACTGTGTATGTGCTTGTAGTCATATTATATATACTAGCAGGAACCCGTCTAACCCTAAAGTGGTGTCAAGACTCAAGAGACTAAAATAATTATTACCTATTTAAATCGCGTTTTGACACCACTTGGGGGTCCAAATTTTGGGCTGTAAAACTCCTATTTCTTGGCCAATTTTTTATTTTTTCATGCTGATTTGAAGGCCATTAAAGCATTTGACCCAGTCAAAAAAGTTTCAGTTGTATATCTTTTACGTTTTTTGCGGAAAGTCGTGTTAAAGTTGATGCCGTGGTGTCAGTAAAATGGCACGGATAAATAAATATATATATATCGTCTCGCTTTATATATAGTAAGATGTGTGAAAAGATGCCGATTATACTTCCAGATTATTTCTCGAATAAATTCATCAGTTACTTTATAAAATAAATCATTATATTATTTTTTAAAGTAGTTGTCTTTTCCATTTATATTATACCAATCGCCGACTCACTTTTTCCAATTAGCCTCACCAGCGCAACGTGAATTTTATTAGAAATCGTTGGATTTGCAAAGTGCTAGTAACAATCGGGGATCGGATGGCCACATTTTTAAATTCAAAAAATTCCTAGGTAGTAGGTTTACGAAAATTGAAAAAACAGACACTTAAAAAAGCTGCCCAACTGAAATTGCACAAATTGCATTACAATACAAAGATATCATTGGAAATAACCGTCGCGTCATTCTAACAACTCATTCCTCATTTAACTGCCACCTAACACAAGGTTTTTATGGGCCATTTGTTAGCCCCAAGCGTTTTGGTCCCTCATTCCTGCCACTCAGCATTGCCTACTGTAAAGTAGAAATTTTTCTAAGATAATAGAGAAACTGACCTTGTCTCACTAAATTCAACCACTTACCATAATTAAAATACTAACAACCAAATAAAGTTTTTTAAATAATTATATACAATCACCAAAAATATTTCCTCAAGTTTACTTCTAGCTAACTAATTCGTGGTTTAAGCTCTTATTTTATTTATGATTAAAGGAATGTAAAATAAAACTTTTCGTTTCATTGAAAACTTTTCGTTTCATTGTTTATACATATAACTGATAAGACAATTGCAGCAGTATCATTCACAATTTTTCGATTAACCGTTCAAAGGTTGATAAGTGTGATTAGATTTTATAAAATTCCGATTTTCTTTAGCGTTTAAAAAAATTCCGAATCTTATGGAAGTAAGAATTTCCATTGTGTCTTATCGAAAGTGAGTGAGAGAAACACTTGTGGCAATTTTATTTACTGGTCCTCTTATTTGTAAAGCTATCCCCAATACATTCAATTACAAAGTGTGATAACCGTTAAAACAGGGGTCGAATTCACAAAAATAACGTAAACCGTTGATTTAAAGCAATCGCTGCTCCTGTCTCTTGATTGCTGATGATGATCAGGAACGCATGACGTATAAATATCATCACGACGATTATTGGTCACTCGAAATTGACCCGTTAAGAATGTAATGTAAGTGCGATGGTTTTTTCTGTGCATTTGTTACCTGTTACTAATTAATCCACAGGATCAAAATGTTTATTGTATCGATAAAAATGGATTTTAAGGCATAAGGAAGCATTGTTGAGTTCCGAAACCAAGTTTAATCGATTTCTCGTGCAATTTTAGGTCAGGAGTGGTCATCAAAATAAATTTTGAACAAAGTCGATATTTTGGTAAATTTCTAGCTTTCTGTCAGAAAATAAATCTTCGTTCTATTAGGGGTAATTGGATGTAACTACAGTACAGCTGTACTTACACCCACTTTCACAAGCATGCAAGCTCACCTGGTCCAAAGAGCGGGAAACGGAGAACGAGCTCTGGTGACGTCATAGTCATGTGACCTCAGGCTCATAATCACGTGACCTCAGACCCAATCAATTGGGTTCTGGCCTGTTCAGCCCCCTGTCACCCGATCTTGAGGTGACGTACGACAACTCGTTAACCCAATCGATGTCTGGAGGGCTGCAAATTTTCACATGCCAAACTCACAACGGTTTTTCGGAGTTGTGCGAGATGACGACACATAGAGGCCGCAGAATTATGAGGACTACCAGATCCTGGTGGAACCTAAGCGATCCATGATATCACGACAGGCCCTACACGTAGTCGTGGTGCTATTGGCTGATACAGACGCCCGCCCGCATGCTAATTGATCAGTATACTTATCCGCTACATTATACTGTAACATCCGGCCCGGAACCAGGAAGCCTCATTAAGCTGTGAGATCTGAGCATGTTAATCACCGGAGAATTTGATCACGTGACGTAGTTGAGTAGCACTCAATTAACCGTTGGAGCCTGGGGCTACATGACTCATGTCCTGTGTTTGGGGTGTCGCCTCAATACTGGCTTGGTAGCATAAATACAGGCATTACAAGAGAACCAATCATCTAGTTCTCACTTACACTTTTTACTTTCATCGCAGTTTTAGCTAAATTTGTATTATTTGGTGCTTGGAATACTTTTTGGGATCCCAACAATATCTTGAAACTCCGACTACAACAAGTTTAGCAACATATCCAAGTTCAGCTACCACCTTCAACTCAGAAGTTAACTTCCTTGACCACCTCAACACAACAGAAGTAATGATTCTCACGGAGATGAAGCCAATTGGACTCCTCAACTCGGAGAACAAGCTCGAGCTGAGCTATCTAGAGCACAATCTTCACATCGTGGCTGAAACCTTTGTTGTACTTAAGGAGATCAGTAGGTGCCAGTTTGGTTCCGTCCACTTAGCGACCCACATCAGCAACGGAACAATGGTGGCTATAAAGTTCATCCCTACTAACGTGGTAAAGTGTTTCAACAACAAGAGTATTCTGGAGAGAACGTGTAACCTGCAGGAGATGGATGTTGTGGTGGGGAAGCTACCAGCAGAGTTCGTCTACGGAACAGTGTGCCAGTCTCCGGAGATTATACGGTACGAGGCTTGTTTTGTGGACCAGGGCTGCTGGGCTCTGGTTATGGAGTATCCTGTGGGCTTCTCTGTGCTCAGAGACCACGTGATATCACATGGTCCTCTAGACCTCGCCTCTCTCTGCAAGATCACCAGACAACTGGTTACTGCCATGAACACGTGCGTTATCAACGGAGTAGACCACAGAGACCTCTCCCAAGATAATATCCTCTACAACCCGGACACAAAGCAGATAAAAGTAATCGGTCTGGGACACGCTGCCACACTCCACAACAAGGAGCCTTACAAAACCCCCACCAACTCCAGCAACCTGCCTCCTGAAGCCAAGAAGTACGGTGTTTGTAGTCCTCTTCAAACCATGGTCTGGAAGTTTGGCTCCATCTTGAACTTCTGTATGATGGGAGCAGGTAGATTGAGCAGGATGAGTCCTCCCTCAGCAGTGAGCAGTAAGAATCCTATTGAGTTTATTGTAAGGAGGTGTTTGGACAAGGATCCAAGGAACAGGATATTGTTTAGTCATCTCAAGAAACATATCAACCAGCATCTCTGAAGTTTTACTGTGATTTTTGCGGACATTTTACTGAAGTTTTACTATTTACGAAGGTTGTGATATTAGGGATACAAAAACGAGCAGTTTTTGGACTTCTCTAAGTAGTCAAAATAGTATAAAAGCTGATGTAACAGTGATTAACATTGATTCTTTTGAATTTAAGATAAGATTGAATTTATGTTTTTGAATGTATTGATTGTATTTGTATTTATATGAAGTTTAATTAATTATTGTGATTAATTTAAAATAAAAATCCAGTTTGTTTTATTTGGTTCATGTCCTGCGAAAGTTTGTAAAGTGACACCGATATGTTACACCGACTGATAACTTGAATTGTATTGTTATGTTATAACAAATACAATAATTCAATACAAAAACAATATCAACCATAATTCAAGGTCACGAGTTCATTATAAAACAGTGTCCTGATTAAAAGTGTTCCTGAAATTTATCCCTTCAACCATACTTGTGGCAGTCGTGTCTGTGGTGAGTGCAACTGGGTGATTACCTGAGAACATCGGTCTTTGTTGATTTGGCAGAGAAAAAGGTTGGCATAGTCCGTTACCTGATAAAACTCCTCTAGAATTAAAATTGGTATTAGATCCTCTCATCTTACTGGCACTCCCATAAAATATAATCCTCTTTGCAAGATCCTGAACGTACTTTCCGAATCTTCTGTTGGATACAGTGTACAATATTGGGTTGCCGCCGACATTAAGAAATGTAAAGTGAAATGCTATGAGGCTCAGCGCAGGGGACACCTCAACTCCTTGACCATTGAGGAAGGCAAATACCAAATAAGGAGTCACACTACAGATGAAGAGACCAGATAAAAGGGAAGTAGTGAACAAACCCCTAAAGTTTACTGAACTGTTAGGATTGTGTCTTTTCTTTTGTCTATAAGCGACCAACAGTAAAATCAAGTTGAAAACTGTGATGAGGACAAGGGGGATTAAATGCTGCAGAATTATCACCGTATTAAACAGAAGGGCCGCATTTTGGTTTGTATAAATAGTAGACATGCATTTAGCGCTACTAGGTACAAACACATAATTAGACTTGTAGCCCAAAGAGATCACTGGACCAGCCATCGAGAATATCCAGATAAGTATAATAGCTAGATGAACAGACCTCCTTGAAACTACATGGAAAGGGGCAATCATTCTGAGTCTGTATGCTGTTATTGCCAGGACAATGAGGCTGTTTGCACCACCAGAGATGAACGGCAGATGAGCGCTGATGAAGCAATAGATGTCACCCATAATATACCTCCCAGCGAAGTAGGTGACAGTGATAGGTATCACCACCACCAAAGTGGAAATGATATCCGCCACTGCCAGGTTCCTTACCAGTACAATGGAGATCCGGTCTAGTTGTATCGCGTTATACCGGATAGAGGAGTAAACGACGAGGCCGTTTCCAATCACTCCCATTATTCCCATCAGTATGCAGTATGTTGCTAGTGGCACCACTTGTGCTGTGCTCAGCGTCAACTCGAGCATTGCTATTAATCTTATAAAGATTTGTTCAGATTAAAAATATAATTTTAGATAAGATTGATTGCAACGAGCGTAAGAAGTAATCTTAAAATCAAATAATAGGCATTTCGTGGTTAGGGGTCGTTCAAATATTACTTAATCACTTTTTCGGCCAATTTGTAACCTCCACTCCCCTCCGTTATCAGTTTTACACATAGCTATTGTGCTAAAATTACTCTAGAGTAATCATTTAGAAACCCCCTCCCTGGCCCTCCTCCTCAGTGATTACGTAATATGTAAACGACCCCTTATGCAAATACCACCATATTATGTCCCTCGATACGAACACACAAACTGAGTGAATGTTCTAATAGAACAATGTTCTAATAGAAGGTGCAGTAAATGTTACTGGAATTGGATCTCCCAATCTACTGGCACTCCCACAAAATGCAAGATAAGTACACCAAGATTCTGAACATACTTTCCGAGTCTTCTGTTGGTTACAGTGTACAATATTGCGTTGCCGCCGACATTAAGAAATGTAAAGCAAAATGAAGGTTTTAGTAGAAGCTGCAGTCAATGTTATTCAAATCGAAGTGCTTTAAGCAAACGAACGCCTAAAAAAACCGTATTCCTTGACGTTGGGACCATATTATGTTTCAAGGGTCTCTACATTTCGGCAAAAGTTTCTCTATAAGATTAAGTGTAAATTATACGATTTGTCGAGACAAATATGACATGATAGTTTGCACAGGTGGTCCAATTTGTCGGCCACACTATCGTACGATCTATTATCAATCAACCAGCTGTCGTTGATGTATCTTGGGATTTCTTAGCTCACTTGAGCTAAAATAACATGTTCACAATGTCTTCAGACGTGTAAGTTCATTAATATAATTACAATAACACGAACCTACGCCATGCTGGATTATCCACCGTAGTATTATCTGGCCAGGAGCCTTCCTATACTTTTTAGATAAGGATATTATGACAGGGTCTTCAACACACTGAAATAAAATGTTGATTTATTATTGAAAATATCAGTACATGCTGTACCTTACAAGACATATTTATGGCTGCCTAATTAACCCAAGTAAGTAAGACTTTCATGTTAGAACATACATGTATTTTAATGCAAATTTAAGCTGTATTGCTTGACATTCAATTCGTCATTGGTGTGATGATAATTTGTCCCAAGATGCCAGAATTTATTTAATTATTTTACTTGATATTACTTTTTAGAAACAAAATAAAGCAGTGAAGGCACAGTCATTGAAATAAGCTAAAAGATAATGCGACAGATTCTATTACGACGACCGAAATTTTGGCGGTCCGAAAATATGGCGAAATTTTCGGAAAACCGCCACATTTCGTACGTTATAAATATGTCTTGTAAGGTATATTATATGAGTAATATAAGGAATGCATGGTTTTTGTATGTCGCGCGTTTAAATATAATACTATCCGCCGCGCGCCGCGCCGTGAAAAAACAATGAAGTTGCAAATACTGTATGGTATTCAAAGCTGCTGATTGCCGTTCGGCGTAACGCGTTACATATAGTATTCCTTATCGCTAACTACGGCCGATCAAGGTTAAAACTATTGGCGATAGTCTTGTGATAGACCATCGCACGATCACAAAACTCATCGGCCAATAATACAAGTATAACAAGTAAGATTATTTGGGAAGGATTGTAACAAACCTTGATAAAGCAAAATCCTTGCATTCTGATAGAGTTATATCTGCAGATATCGACTAAGCTTTTCCTATACAGATAAGGATGGAATTCAGCTTGCAACATAGCTGGAATTACAGCACATCGTCGGAGCAAATATTCAAGTTGTTCCGTACTAAATTTGTACGCCCCGATATCTCTTATCTTGCCTAGAGTAACGTTTAGAGTAAAGGTAAAAATAGCCCCCGGCGAGAATTGAACTCGCGACCCCTGGTTTACAAGACCAGTGCTCTAGCCACTGAGCTACGGAGGCTTCGGGTTCTCACAAAACATAATATTTATAATCGTGCTAGAATATTCTGTAATAAAATTAAGTTGAGTACAACTGACTCCGACTTCTGAAGAATCGTACCTGCGTTATATAGGTCTTCTAGGGCTCTGTAACAGTCCAACATGGCATCGCCCGGGTCGATATTCATTGAATCTGAAATTAACATCATTTCAATAAAACTGATTGTGAGGCGCTAATCAATGGTCCATTCGATTTTGACTAGAGTTCCCCCAAAAGCCCACCTTCTATTTTAGTTTGACTAGCTGAAGCACGGCTACTATATTAAAAAGCGTTTCCAACAACCGTGATGATATTCAAAAGTGACTGGCTTCGTTGGCTAGCTGCAGTTGTCCTGAGCACGCCCTGCCAAACTCACCAAAACGTAACGTACGTGGTCTCTGCGCAGAAATGTGTCGTACAGAAAAGTCTCTGCGCAGAAAAGTGCCAGATGTTTTAAGTGCGAACACTTGTTTTAAGAAGTTTACTTGATTTTACTTTTGGTTTGTACAAGTAAGACAGCTATATAAAATGTGGTGATAAGAATAGCGTCTCACAATAAAAGTGGTTCAAACATCCTCGATCATCTTCTTATAAAGTTTGTCATATTTTCTGTTAGTTATTCCCATCCATTCTTGATCGTCAAAACATACGTCCTCGTCAAAACATCCATCTTTAACTTTCCGCAGTCACTCCTATCCACAGGTTGAACTGTAGACTTTTGTTACATGTATGAGACTTTAATGTGAAAGTGGTATCATATGACACAACAAGCCTTGCAGCTGTATCTAGCCCATTTCTAGGTCAGTTAAATTCAACTGATGGATCACATCACTAATTATACGTCTCCCTGGGGTCCGGGACTCTAGGGCGTAAGACTCTAGGGCGTGAGACTTTAGGGCGGCGCCCTAACCCTAACCATCACCCTAACCCTAACCCTTATCCTAACCCTAACCCTAACCCTAACCCTAACCCTAACCCAAACCCTAACCCTAACCCTAACCCTAACCCTAACCCTAACCCTAAGACCCTAGAGTCTTACGCCCTAGAGTCTTACGCCCTAGAGTCCGGACCCCCTCTAGTCATATATTCCTGTAACTTAAAATTCGGATTGAATCCTAGACTACTGGATGGAACCTTGATATAACGACAAGTAACGAGTAATGAGTAAGATTAGATATTGCTCTCTGGTCACGAAATCCTATGGATTCGTGGTTACAACATGGAATGAAATTTTTGAAAATGTTGGTACAAGACATTATTTAGGTACTGAAGGCAAATACTATGTCACCAATTATAGTAAACAGTAACACTTTACGTGTAGATCTTGACCTCCCTTACACTTTTGAGAAAAAAGAAATACAGATTTTAATTTTAGAAAAACCGAAATATTGCAAAACAATTCAAAAAGCCATCATAGCATCAAATACGATCATAACATTAATAAATGACGGTGACCAATTGGGTAAAATTGTACTAGAAATAAAACTTTGGAAAGTTAGGGCGGTATAAAACCTTAAAATGAAAAATCACAGAAACTTAAGATACGTCAGCGGCCATAATTCATTATGAAGTTAAGCTTTTTAATCAGCAAGACAGCAGATATGGAATATTTATCAAATTATTATTATACCCTTACAATTTTTCAAGATACAAGCGATAAAGGTTCAAATACAACTCAAATGCGATAAAGATTCTGCAAATACAACTCAAATGCGATAAAGATTCTGCAAATACAACTCAAATGCGATAAAAGTACTGCAAATACAACTCAAATGCGATAAAAGTACTGCAAATACAACTCAAATGCATGATTATCTACAGTTTACAGGACTGAATGATTTGTGGAAGCTTTCTTTACAATCTTACAACTGCTCGTCGTTGTAGAGCCCTCTTTTCCATCTCCTCCTTTACCTCCCTCACTATTCCTGCTTCCTCCACATCCCAGTAACCCGTTCAAGTACTCTCTGAACTTCACGTTAGAAATGTAGAGGACAAAGGGGTTGGTGACCGAGGCAATGGACAGGAAGAATGTGGGAATGAGGCACCAGAGCGGTTCGACCTCACCATTCCTACCTTTATAATACCCAGATAACTTTCCGATGTGAACTAAAATCATGGGGATATAGGATAGGAGGAAGCTCCAGCAAATTGTGGAGATCATCAGGCTGACACGACACTTCTGCTCCTTGGTTGCAGTTCTACTGTTCTCTAGCACTTTGGAGATAACTCGTCCTGTGTAGATATTAGCAGACATCAGGATAGCTAGTGGAAGAGCGACAAGGAACACTGTGTAGATCCACCAGATAGCCTTTAGGCCTTTTTCATTATGCTTTGGTTTCACCGCGCAAGATAACTTTGCGGTTATGAAGCACTCTTCTTTGTGTCCTAAAGCAGGAAAGATTATGCAAGGAGCAATAGCGACCACCACGCAAGCAGCAATAACCCAGTAGACCCTGGAGATTGGGTAAGTGCTGCGGACTTTAGGAGGCTTTTTGAGGAGCCATACCCTGAAAACCGTCCCGATTGCGTTAGTCAGGATGTTGTACACCATGATGGAGGTGGGCATGAAGTAGGCAGTGAAGGTACACCAGGCGTCTCCCAGCGTGTATTCATTACAGATGAGGGTGATGAGGATGGGGATGTAGAAGAATACCATGAGAAGGATATCACACACTGCGTTACTGTAGATCTGTGTCAGGTCTATTGCCTCCATCTTTACTGCTTTTCGAAATATGCTTCCATACAGAATCAGCACATTTCCTGAGGGCAGAGGAGATGATGCGAACAACGCTAAGTACATATTATTTTTAGTTTTTGAGATCATCTTTGGTCTATTTGAAAATACAAAATTATTATTGAATAATTAGGAGATGCCGATTTCGAAATGCAAAAGTTATTTATACAATTATAAAGCCTCAAGAAGTACCTGTTAAAGTAACAATTAAAATAAGTGAAGTCAGCACAATCAGGAAAATCCGGAGTCCTTCATCGATCCCGAGTTCCTTTTCCAGCGATACAACGTTTGAAGCTTGACAATGATCTTGATCTCCTCTCATGGCTGAATTTTTGTGTCTACAAAGTAAAGAGATTTAGTTTTAAATCTAATAAGCTTGGAGGTATAAAGCATTGTGACAACCAACATGAGTTTTGGAATAAAAAGATTAAGTAGATTACTGGGGACGAAATATCATGTATTGTCGACGTTTTGGCTTCATGCCTTTGTCATAGAAAGAAGGTTCAAAGGTTGAGATTGCTTTTTACAGTACACAATTATTCGTCCCTAGTAATCCATCATGATCGACCCACTCAAGAGAGCGAAAAAACAAAACTTTAAAAAAATCTAGTATCGAGGCAAACTAAATCCTTTGTCATTTTGATGACCTAAAACCAGGATCTTGCAAGCGTAGCAGATACCAACGGAATATGTCAGGAATGTGTTGGAAGCTTTTGATAGAATAAGTAATATGATCAGTTTTAGTTGACAAAATCTGTGCGTGGTTTGGATCAAACGAGGTATCATCTTTCACTGACGGCATAATGGCATTTATAAGGGACAATTCACTATAAAGTTGAGTAAAAAATAGCACGAGTCCAATGTTAACAAACGAAAACAAATGGAGAACATAGGACACAGATATTAACAAAAGAAACAAAGAATAAGATCTAAGAGTTGAGTCGTAATAACAAAAATGTTGTGTTCAACCTCACGGAATAGGACATATTTCAAACTTTAATTCTAATTAGTATCCATTTCTGTGATGTCACCTCAGTAGTACACATACTAAACTTCGAAAAGAGAACTTCGATTGTCGAACTAGAGTGCATTACCTTGACTCTAGTTCGACTGACGTACTGAAGTTCGAGAACTGCGACTTGAGAATACTACTCTTCAGAGTATGTGACTCGAGTGACACGAGTCACATACTCTGTGTGACTCACATATGTGACTCGAGTCACATACTCTGTAGGACTCACATATGTGACTCGAGTTTCACTGTCTTAATGATACATTTTAATGATGAAATATGAATGAGCTGTTAATGATAAACGAATAGAGGCCGTTGTTTTGAAATAACCGAAATTCCAACGCAAGCTCACATCAGAGATAAAATTAAACCAGCCAAAAGATTTCACAGCACATGCTGCGTGAACAGAACAATCTGCCTTATTTCACAACATATGCTGCGTGAACAGAACAATCTTCCTTTGTACCATAGTCTGGCTAAGGATGAACATAACAAAAGACAACTTGAACTATCATGCAAATCGTGTACTCCTGTGATCCACTACTTGCGGGGCCGTAGAGTAGAGGAACAATGCACTATTTCGCCAAACATCAGATCTACTACTACATATTAAAGAGGAGAGCAGTAGAGGGGGCAGCTGGCTCAACTGTATAATCTAGTAGTATAAAACTAATTAGAGCCATTACCATTGAGCTACATCAAGAAGCTACATCATTAACCTCAAGTGTAATGGAGTAATGGATCGTTAATAAAACTTTAAGACTTTCAGATAACTTTTTCTGCTGTATGTAGGAGAATGGAAACTCTGCAAAGCAGGTCACTCAATTCACCTATTTGGGTGCCAAAATTACATCAGATGGCAAGATTGATAAAGAAATAAGTGTCAGGATTGGAAAAGCAACTGGAGCTTTTAACCAACTCAACAACATTTGGAAGAATAAGAACATAAGCATTAACAACAAAGTGCGAATCTACATCGCAGCTGTTCTTACCATTCTGACCTATGGATGTGAGATATGGAACACGACTCAAGTGCAGACAAGAAGATTGGAGTCTTTCCATCAGTACTGCTTAAGAAGAATCCTGAGAGTGAGGTGGTTCCATCGAGTAAGTAATGAAGATGTTTTAAGAAGGGCATCAATAACTGCTCTTGCTGACATAATAACAACAAAACGGCTGCGTTGGTTTGGACATGTCAGTAGAATGCCTGAAGATCGGTTACCCAACTATTTACTTGAATGGAAACCCAAGCATGGGAAGAGATCAAGAGGCAGGCCTAGGAAGAGCTTAAATGATGTATTTATTGAGGATGCTGAGCAGAGATTGGATCGGAATGGACTCACGATTGATTGTATGAGAAGATTAGCTGCAGACCGAAAGGGATGGAGAAATGTTACCCGCCGAAGTTGTATAATACAAAGTAATGACGCAGTCGACGCAGACTAATCCTTTTGGATGGAGATCTCGCCATGTAACATGTATGTATGTAGGAGAATGTCATAAAGGGTTATGAAACATTGGTATTATTGCAACAAACCATGCTAGGTTATTTCAACATCAAGAAACTAAAGATAGTACAATAAAACATAGTAAAACACAACCCTGCGGACTAACCCCTACATTTCATAAGATAGCCAGTGTAACTGTACACAATAACCCGTTAACATTGGAGGTTAAAACATCATTATAGCAGGAAACATCAGTTAATCTATTAAAGCTTTTAAGATCTATCTGTGCTACTTTAAGATGTACCTGTAGTGATTAACCCCTGCAAGGCCCAATTACACTTAAAGAAAGATTTAAGATTGTTAAATTGTTGCTAATGAAAGCACGTTTGAAATAGATAGAATATATTTAACGGAAGGCTATGAGGAACACAAGAAATATAAGAAGACAACAAATTCGAGGTGGTAAAGCTACAATAAAACATAAGCTCAGCGAGATGATATTGTACAAGCAGCTGTACTATGAGTATGTTTGATAATGAAAACTTGATGCTAGAATTACCGGACTTGCCAGGCTTCTAAATAGCCCTTATAGTCTAGAATACCTCGTTAATTACCCCTTTAATAACATAATTACATTTCCTCACCAAGAATTGTCCCTACTAAAAGTATAGAGCTTGTAAGTACTTGTAATGCAAAGAGAGTACAGTAAGAGCAACAGTCCAGGGAGAGTTTATTGTGTGAGAGAGAGAGAGAGAGAGAGAGAGAGAGAGAGAGAGAGAGAGAGAGAGAGAGAGAGAGAGAGAGAGAGAGAGAGAGAGAGAGAGAGAGAGAGAGAGAGAGAGAGAGAGAGAGAGAGAGAGAGAGAGAGAGAGAGAGAGAGAGAGAGAGAGAGAGAGAGAGAGAGAGAGAGAGAGAGAGAGAGAGAGGGGCGACTAGACTAAGGTACCAACTTTTCAAAGTGACAATAGAAAAATGTAAATGTTGGATAATTACACGGGAACAATAAGTTAAGTGGAAGATAGCAGCAGAGAGGGAGGGGGGGGGGGGGGCAGAATCTACTGCTCAAATGAATCCTTCAAATAACTGCTGCAACTCTTGGGTGATAATAGCGAATAAGAAAAGTAGAAAAATTAGATATATAATATAATGTTTAAAATAATACGAATCATTCGTATCATTTTAAACATTATATTATATTATATTATATGTCTCAAATATAATTTTATTATATTTCTAGTCAGACTCTTTGACTCAAGACCGCGAACAGATGGACCGGTTCTGAAATCTTGTACTTATATTTAGGAACTATAAACAAACATTCGATTATCCTAGTCTGCTTAACCCACGTGTAGTTAATGTCAACACGAGATCGAGTCATGACGTCATATCAGCCGTTAGGGTGATAACGCTATCCAATAAGAGAATGCCAGATGTCATACAGCTATGCCCAAATTGATGGCTCTGATAACTCAGCTGATAAAAAGACGGAGAGATGAAAATTAAACAAGTGGTGAGATGTTATACCATTATGCATGGGCTAAAAAAGCGCGCAGAAACCAAACCACTTCTCGAGAGAGAGAGACTGTCAAACCAGAAAGTGGAGATCAGTTCCACGAGTAAATACTGAGGTCATTGGTACGCCGTACGAGGTAATACTGACGCCAAATGTGAGAAAATCTCATATTATATAATAGTGACCCTTTTTTCAGCTGACTCTGGTAACATCTGTGGTTGGAGTAGCAGTTGGAAACCCCTCCCGCCCGGTAATTTACGGTGCTAGGGTAATGATCACAACCAAGGCCGACAGAGAATACAAATCATGAATTTACTTACTTTCGGAGGTATATTTGACTATAAATATGTTGTTTGAGTACATTACAGAGACCGATTATTTCAAAACAGGTGTTGCTTCTTTCCTGTATTTATCGAACTGAGAATCTTAATTTATTCTGATTCCACAATGACGCTGGCTCTTACCTTCAGATCATTTCCATCACACATTAGATGGACACCACGCACGATCAATTTGATCGTGCGTGGTCTGCAAAAAGACTAGAAATTAGATTCTCGGAAGAAACAATATTCGATATGATCTGGTAATCACGTTTCTCATTTGTCGCAAAAACGCCATTACCGTTAATCAAGTTCCGTCGATCAGGTTAGTCTTCTCAAAACGAGATCAAACGTTATCGCGACATTTTTAAAACAAAAGTTGTGAAAAAATTAAATTTTCAAAACAGAAGTTAAAGAGGAGGACAGAAGTGAGGACCTGGTGCGTACACGTAGGCAATTGTAGCAGACTTACTGGAAATTACTGGCGAAAAACCGCGGGTGAACGAATTCAGAAGAGTGTGGAGTACTGCTCACAGGACAGTGACTCGGCCATGCAAATGAAATTTAAAATTTCTGATGCAGTCTAATGAAGTGTTTAGAAACTCCGGCAATTTGAAGAAACATTATTGTTTTACAGCTATCTATATATTAGTCCGTATCGTTCCAAAAGGGAGAAAGCCAGCCACAAGAAGTTAGTAGGGGAGATTAAGGAAAACATAAAAACGGGCCTACTAAATTCTCTACATTCGGAACAATACGATAGTAGCTCGATATAGAGGCTCAGAGGAAAGATAGTTGAAACTTATTGTGTTTGACTCGGATTTGTGTTACCATATCAGTATGGAAAATATGAAATGGAATTGGGACGTATATTATACTACTAGATAAATAAAACTAAGGTACTATGACATTTGAAATTGGCGTTCTGTTTGAACATTATTCCTCAGTCAGAACGTTGAATGAATATCGATAAGGGGCGTCGAGTTAAGCCTGGCAAGCGATAATGGTGGAGCTGATAATGATATCGTGTCATGAAGTTCA